GTTTTCCTGAATCCAGGGCTGGTGCTCTATCCACTTTGCCACCTAGCTGCCCCTAGAAACTGAATTCTGACTCTGCCTCTTACTACCAGTATGACCTTAGGCAAGTCACCTAACATCTCTGGGCCTCACTTTCTTCATCTGTAAAATAAAATTTTTCAAGGTGATCTCTAAGGAATGCATAAGAAACAGTTATTAAGCACTTACTTTGTGCCAGATGTTATGATAATATTAATAATAAAAATGAACATTTCTATAGTGCCTACTATGTGCCAGGCACCGTTAAATATTATCTCATTTTATCCTCACAACTCTAGGAGGTAAATGCTATTATTATCCCCATTTTACAGGTGAGGAAACTGAAGCAAATAGAGGTTTAATTGACTTGTCCGGGGTCACAAAACTAGTAAGTTTCTGAGGCTGAATTTGAACTTGGTTCTTCCTAACTCTAGGCCTAGTACTATGGTGCCACCCAGCTGCCCTAGGAATACAAGTATAAGCAAGCGAGAAAGTTCCTATCTTCAAGGAGCTTACATTCTAATAAAGAAAGTCAACTTATATAAGTGAGGGGAAGTCAGAAAGGTATATTTTGGATAGGAAAGTTACAGGGACAGTGATTCAAGTCACAGGGTATTTAATTGATACATCCTTCCACGGAATGGTAGTGTTCATTTGATTACTGTTTATAGAGCTGGGAGTGAGGGGTGGGGAGGTGAGAAAGGAAGTAACATAATAGGGCCTAGGTCTGGGCTCATTATGGTGAATGCTCATTAGTCAGAAGCTCAGGTTCCCACTGTGGGAACATGAGTTTCAGGCTAGAGGTAGACATTGCAACTATGGCAGTTTCCAACTCTGAATCTATGATCCTAGGATCCTGTCACCTCTAGGGTCCTTTCCAGATCCAAATTTCTGATCCATTGATCTGTATGGGGGCTTTGACTTTCGACATTCTGATTCTCTGAACTACTTAGTGAGAATGAGCACTTCTCACTGGCAGGTGAGAAGTAACTAGTAGACCTCCTCTAGCTTGCCATAGTGATGCTGCCTAAATGGCTCTGTTTAGAAACTGTATGAAGCAGAGAAGATGAACCATACATTCACCTGGCTGATTTCGATGCCTTTGGAGCTTTAGCACAGTACATCAAGTTTCATGCTTCATATCTAAACACCCCAATCTAAGGCTACAAGCATCAATCAATTAATCTGAGATGATTCACCTTCCCATTAGCTTGTTGAATAACAAATGATCCTCATAAGCACCATTTTCTTGCAACACAAACATTCAGAGAATCAATCAGCTTCCAGTGCTTTTTAAGAAATCAGTATTTGGGTAGACCTTTTTTTCTGGGTAAGCAATCTGACCTGGGGGCTCAATTGATACTTGTTGATATAATGCTCTCATTCAATGGGGGTGATTTTAGAATCTTTGAAATGGAACTGACCTAAGAGCTGAAACAATTCAATCCCTACTTGAGTCAAGACCCTTTTATATAATTAACCATCCAGTTTCAACTTGAAAATCTCTAGTGATGGGGAAACCCGTTTACCCTGAAAGCAACTCAGTTCATTTTGGGATAGCTCTAATTGTTGGCAGATTCTTCTTCACAATGAGATGAATCTTCTTACTGTTAATTTCCACTACGGGTCCTTTTTTCTACCCTCTGAGCCAAAGCAGAATAAATCCAATCTCTCTTCCCAGATGCAGGTCCTCAGTACCTCATAACTGGACTACTGTGACAGGAGACCGATTGATCTCCCTGAAGAACTGAGGAAGAACTGAGTCCATATCCAACTTCAGACATTTAGTAGCCATGTGACCCTGGGCAAATCACTTAACCCTGTTTGCCTCATTTGTAAAATGAACTGGAGAAGGAAATAGCAAACCACTCCAGTATCTTTGCCAAGAAAATCCCAAATACGTCATGAAGAGTTGGACACAACTAATTGACTAAACACGTGAACCTATGAGCAATAGCATCATACTTGGGCTCAGCAAGGAATATGGATATATTCCTTCTCTGTCAAAGCTGGGGAAACCACTTTTTCTAGTCTTCAGAGCTACCCGTTGAATCAGGCTTTCCTGTGGATAGGGGTGGGTATGGAGATGAGTCTTTGCTCATCTACCCCACCTCCTCCTTCTTGTAGGGTAGCTGACTGGATCATGAAGGCCAATAATTCATAATTAGTACTGAGTTCAGAAGATGATCATCTATCTTCTATTTCTCTCTGTTCCCCAATTTGCAAGGTCCTCTGGTGGGGAAGAGAGTGAATAGCAGAGTCATTTTAATTGTTGCTTTAGAAATATATTGGAAACTTAGGCTCCTTGGGCTGGACCACAAGGGACCTTGGAGATCACCTGTATGCTTTCTCATTTTACAGATGAAACTGAGACCCAGAGAAGGGAAATGGCTTGCTCAGTGTCACAGGACCAATTAATAAAAGAGTAGGGGATCAATTCCTTCCCACTATACTGCCTACTTGGAAAGATGTTTGTCTAGAGATGCCCTGTAGTTCCCCTTTCTACTTGTTCTTTACTTTGTGGAACACAAGTTACTCCAGTGAGAGGGAAGTGTGGGGACTTCATGTCCCAGGAACCTCTTCATCCTGCAAGGGCATTTCATCCCTGGACTCACATTTCATCAGTACCCTCTGCTTCTGGGGCCCCATCCTCTTACTGGAGGGTGAGGAGGTTCTTCCAGAGCTTCCATTTAAGGAGGGCATCCAGGCCAACCACCTATTAATTTCTGCATTCTGTTGGACTTCTTTCTCCATGAAGCTTCATGGTTACCTTCCCACCCCCTCTGTCAGCTTCCTTTTGTGCAGTGTCTCCCTCCCTTAGAATGTAAGCTCCTTGGGGGCAGGTTCTATCTTTTGGCTTTCTTTGTTTCCCCAATGCTTAGTGCAGTCCCTGGCAGTTAGTAGGGATTTAATGTTTCTTGACCAACTACTCTTGATAGACCAATTTAGACTCCCCCTAAGAGCTTTGCAAACATTAAAACGATATAAATGTAATTTTTCACCTTAGAAATTTAAGTTTGTGTTTACTCAGGGCTTCTATGTGACTTTGACCAGGCACAACTTTTTATGCAGATCATGGGAGAAGGTGAGATGTGGTGGGAGAGGTGATTAAAAATGAGTCTTTTTGCCTCCTTAAATTCCTTGCTTAACCTAGACAACACACTGACTCATGAAGGGATTGCATGTACTTTTTAAAAAAACAACAAAGCAGTGTCTAACCTGGTTAATTTGAGATGACTGCTTGCTTCAGTCCCTCTTGGCTTCCATAAGATGCACCACAGAATAGATATTAAGTATTTTACTCTTCTGCATGTTACATGCTGCATGTTTTCTTGGAAATCGTGCAAGGGGCTCCTCCCTAACCCTGATTTTGTCTTCTGTCATTGCTCTCATTGGATCCAGACGAACACCTGGGGAGGAGGTACGGTTTCTGAGGCCTATCCCCTATCATAGCACCAATATGTATATCCATGATACACAGAATTATTTAATTATGAAGAGAAAAGCTTGCCTCCCTTGTGTTCTCACATAAGCAGTACAATGCCTTGTGATGCAAGGGCAAGACTGTTTACCTTCTGTTCAAGAAAGGTGCCGAGTTCATAGAAAATATCTTATCACATTGTCTGACACAAAAAAAACCATCTAGTGAAAAAGTCTATTCTTAAGTTTTTTATGCTTGACATTAATTTCTCCCATTTTCACCCCCAAACTCCTTTCAACTTTATGCAACTATGACACAGGTAATTTTCCTTCCAGAAATTAGCAATACTTGGAATTCAGCGTTTTATGGTTGTGAGCCCATGAATAACTTGCCTTTTTTTGTTTTAAAAATATCGCTTTTATTGAAATGTTGTTTTCATATCCCCTATATTTCTAAATCTATCCCTCCCAATCTCTACCACTGAGCTATCCCCTGTAACAAAAGATTTTTAAAAAAGATTTAAGTAGTTCAGTAACCAGCCCCTCACCCCCCCCCCGCCCATACACTCCCTAGGCCTTCACTCTGCATGTCTCTATAATTACAGCGTTCACATTTCCCCCTCTTTTCCATGTTGTCGTCATACATTTTGCTTCTCTTGTTCTGCTTATTAGGATCAGTTCACATATAACTTCCTGTGGTTCTGAGGTTTTCATATTTGTCATTTCTTATGGTGCAGTTAATATTTATTACATCCATTTAGCACCATTTGTTTAGCTATTTCCCAAGTGAAGAGCATTTATTTTGTTTCCGGTTCTCTTGAATTTGCTTTTCAAGGAACCTAAAGTAAGTGTGCTGATCTTACTAAAATTTAAAAAAATTTGTGTTGACTGACTGATGCAAACATTGGAGGCTTTTACAAACAAGGTTTTGTTAAATAGAAGCACAATATTAACAGCTGATATTTATACAGAATCTTAAGATTGTCAAGTACTTCACCTATATTATTTCAGTTGATGCTCACAGAGGAAACTGAGGTTCAGAGACGTTATGTGACTTGCTCAGGGTCCAATAAGAATCTGAGGTCCAAATGGAGCCCAGGTTTCCATAGAGCACCCCAGTTTAAGCCTTGGTATAAACTTTATGATGATTTGTTTGTGGGGCATATTTTATTTTCACAGAGTACCATAGATCTGTATAGCAGTGGAAAGAAATGGATACATTATAGACGCTTCTAATGAATCAGGTCAAAAGTAAAGAAGCTGAAATATCTTCTTCACATTATCTATTACTATGGTAATAAGTGCAAACAGTCTCTAATTTATGAAATTTGTTAACAAGTTCCTATAGGATCATGTTTTGGGCTAGAAGAGAACTTGGAAGCCCTTCATTTTATAGATAAGGAAACTGAGGCCAAGAGAGCTTAAGGGGACAAAGCTTACAGAGAAGTAGTCTGGATTTGAATTTTGGTCTTCTGACAGCAAATCCAAAACCAAAATGTTATGGATCCTTTGATTTTGCAGACAATATTAAGAATGGATAAAGACAATTTGTATTATCCAAGAAATAAGCAGAACAGACTGAGGCCTTTATTTGTATAGCTAGCCAAGAAGACCCTCATGTCCCTGAATATGTTATAAGATCATTAATATTGCAATCTAAGCCACAGAGTTCTAAAAATACAATGGTAAGGAATGATTGGATATAAGACCAAGACAAATGCTCTTAAGAGAAATGGAACTGTTTACACTTTGAAAATATAAGTTCTTTGAAAAAATATAATTTACAGTTAAAATTTTGTTTTTGTTATGTCCACTGAAAAGAAAATGTCATTTACCTTTTAGAAGCCAAGATAAACTTAGCTTCATCTCACTGTTTTTTAGTAAGAAAAACTGGTCGAAGCCACTGCACTTAAGTGTGGTAAATGAGATTGTAATCCAAATCCTGAAGATTGTAAATATTCCACGGTTAGTGCAATGAAGACAAGTCTTTTATCTGAGGACAAAATTATTGAAGATTAGAAAAGTTGCTGCCTCAGTGAGAGAACTGCCTGCCATCAGATTTCTTCTTGCTAATGTGTTTGAAGATTTTGGACTTGTGGACGTTCTTGGGCTTCTGGTAGCCAAAACCACCACCACCACCTCTTTTCTGCAACCTCTTCCCCTGGCTGCTGTTCAGATCTGAAAAGTGAATGTTAAGGAAAGCAGACAATAGAAAAGTACATGACTTCCAATCTAACATTTACTAGGTAATAGTAATAACCAGTTGCTCCAAACCACAATTTTGTGGTCTTTCATTATGGATGTGATCTTATGAATCATTTAATGTAGCCTCTGAAACAGGTGCAAAGAGGATAAGGGATCTACCTATCCAGGAGGTAAATAGCAGAATGCACATTACAAACAGGGTTTTTTTTTTTTTAAACTCCAACTCCACTGTTTATTTAACTAAACCACGCTACTTTTCTTGCTCCAAATACGACAAAGCGAATAAATACAAATAATTTACATACGTACAAGACTATGCATAATAGCATACCAATGATAACTTGCGACTTTGAGCCCAGCACACCTGCTGATATTTCCACTACTTACAAAAATTTACTGTTAAAACTACTCTCCTTAAGTCCTGGGATAAACAGCTGAAGTGTGCTGACATATATTCAAATAGCCTCAATTTGCAGATAGGTGGTTGTTTCTGTTTCTCATGGGGGGGATTAATTCAGAACACACAGTCACATAAAGAAGCAATTCTTTTCCATGTATCATCTCCCCCCAATTGCACCAAAAGTTAGTTAGATGGTGTCCTCATCTGAGCTGGCTGAGATGACACAGTTCAAGGAGGCTGGTGCACCAAATTCCTTTCACTTAACAACTGTGATAGTGATAGAAAGACCTCCTTTTCCTATCATAAATACTACACAATGCTAGCTTGTGTGGTTCCTCCTTCTGCAAACTTAATGATCTTCTTAAGAAAGTAGCTGGAAGAATTGACTCTGTCCTTTCTCTTATGTCCAAACCCCTTGATATTACATAATCTCCTTTAAGTTATCTTTCCCATGTGTGTAGCACAGGACATGACAGGTCACATGAATGGCATCCATACTCAGTAGTATAAACACCCCAAGCAGAAAAAGACTGGTGATTTAATACTTACCCAGAAAGCACCCAAACCCAACTATTAGGACCAAAACACACGAACTTGCCAGTTGAGCCTAGCAGAGTTTCATGCACAAACTAAGATTTCAGGTTGCTGACATAACACAGCAAAGGATACTTAGGTCAACAAACGGAGGTACTTTGAAACCAAATGATAAAGCGACTTGAGGTAAATTTAAGCTGTTCACATTGTAGATTTGCTTCAGAGAATGGGAATCATATGCTCGAACATAGGATTTATATGCCTCCTGTGCCGATTTATGAAGGAAGTAGTTCTTCTCAATTAGTTTTTCCAACTGAAATTTTAAGAAGCAAAACACTTTGTAATATCCTAGGATGCTACTTTTCTCAAATACACAAATTTCAGTATGTATGCAGTGATACTATCTTGCCCAACCCTCATCCATTCAAATTTGCCAAATAACTCCAAATATCCAAAAAGACTTTCAAACATGTTATCACAAAGACCAAAGGTTTTTAAAGACAAGTTCAATGCAGAAGATGGATATCCAGGGGATATAGGAACTGGGCATATAAAAAATACTTATTGACATTTAAAAATGAAATACCTGAGACTGAATGTCAGAAATTTTTGACCAGGAAAATTCAAATTCACTTAATGGTACCTAGAAAGAGGGGGAAAAAAGCCAATACTAGTAAACCAAAATAAATCAAAGACTTAAGTTTAAGATAACGGTGAATAATACTTTGGTATGTTCCTGTGGGGTTGCAAACCCCATGGGTTTTTGAATGTTTTGGGTTGGATCACAAAATGTTAGCCCTAGAAAGGACTTAAAGAGTTCATCCCATCTATCCTCTTTCATTTCCTATGTGAGGCAAATGAGGCATGGAGAAAGGAAGTAATTGACTCAAAGCCATCTAGCTAGTGAATGGAAGCACTGGGATTAGAATCCAGGTGTTCTGGCTCTGGGTCCATTGCTCTTTCAACTACACTATGCTGACTTTCAGGAGAAGATCACTTGTCCTTAAGTGCTGCTATGAAAGCTGAGGAAAGAAAAGGGGCAGAGAAAGACAGGAACATGTGGAGATCGTGTATATGGTTTACTTTACAGGCTCAACTTGGCCAAATTTTTTTAATAGGAAGTCTGATCTACATTACATTATCTTCTGGAGACATAAAATAAACTTTTCTGTAACTAGTGCTCCAAACTACATGAAACATCTGCTTATTGGTCTGAGCTGAGATAACTTGTCTTGACCAGAACCTAACCAAATCCTTTGTAGGGGACCAAAGTCACAATGTCTTCCATACTTTAGGGAGGGAAAACTTCTTGTCTGAGCCACAGAAGTAATGAGCTCAATCTCGTGAAGAAAGGAAAGCAGATAAAGCCCTTCCCAAATAAACATCCATGATAACTCATAGGCTATTCTAATATAGGTTTATGTGCCAGGCATTTGATGAGGGGTGGTAATTAGCACCAATTCTAACTTATAGTGATAATAAACTCCTGCCTGGAGGGCAGGTTTTGTCATTGGATAACCACTTTGTGAAGTTACGGCACAACCCTATGCATAACTTAACTATACATAACTCCTCTTATTAGAAACCTGAGTCTCCCCACCTCTGTTCCTGAGACATTGCTAAAATCAGCATCCTTTTACACTTTGTGTATGCTTTATCTCAGGCCTGGCCAGGTGGAATGTGGTGGAAAAGCATTTTAAAGATGGAATTGAGATTCTAGAGAAATATGGAAACTTGAGTAAACTATAGAGCATTGGACAGTTCTGAAAAACAGATGAAAATATGGCATACAACTAAATCGCAGCCTAAGTTTAAAAGGGTTTACATGACCCTCTCCAAAGAGGTCTTGATTGCTAGCCATAAAAACATCTGTTGGGGCAGCTAGGTGGCGCAGTGGATAGAGCACCGGTTCTGAAGCCAGGAGGACCTGAGTTCAAATCCAGCCTCAGACCAAACACTTGACACTTACTAGCTGTGTGACCCTGGGCAAGTCACTTAACCCCAATTGCAAAAAAACAAAAACAAACCAAAAAACAAAAAACAAACAAACAAAAATCTGTCACCATCATAGACCTAAATGTATTAGGCGTAGGGTAGCCCTGGCTCCCCCTGAGGGGCTGAGCTTTCAACAGGGTCCTGCTAGCTGCCACTGCCACCTGCAGATACACAGTCTGCTTGATCCTCCTGGAGCCCATCATCACTAGCAGAAAAATGAGCCCCAACTCTCTCCACAGGCCCAGGCAGGTAAGGGCCACCATCACCACGGATGTAGACTGTTATCTTTACCACCTTCTCCATATGACCCTTTGAGACTTCTTACTGATCATGTTATACTAGAACCGCCTCGCCCCTTTCCCTTGATGCTAGTTCTGATCTATGGCTGGCAAATTCCTACCTCCTGTTTTCTTAATCCTTGTGACTCACAGAAAAAGTCCACCAAGACAAACCCCTCCTTTCCCTACTATCTCTTCTTGTACATTTATCTCATTCCAGCTCATATGTTATAACCCCCTTTCACTATACCCTATGGATCCCTTGTTCTACTTTTAACAAACTCCCTTTCACCATCATTTGTACAGATTTCGTATTTGCTTTTATGCATATATTATTTTCCCCAGTACAAAATAAGCTCTCTGAGGGGAAGTTCTGTGGTTTTTTATTTTTTGGGACTCCATCCAGTGTCTTATCAGTCCTTGTCAAATAGTAGGTGCTTAATAAATGCTTGTTGAATTAATGAATTTGATTTAGTTTTCTCACACTTCTTTCATCTTACGCTCATGAAAACCTGGAATTCCCTGGAAAAGACCTCATCTTTGGCCCTCCTTTCTAGGCTTCCTTGTTCTGTCATTGCCCTAACACTTAACCCCAAGAGTGCCACTCTTCTTGCTCCTCTATGACTGCTTCCAGATATTCTACCTGCTGATATCACTCAGAAACTTCTCCTTTGTGGTTCATTCCATTTGGTTATTATCTACAGGGCTATTAGCTTAACTTTACCTGAATTACTTTAAGTAATTCAATACCTGGCTTATATTTTTCCTGTCCATCCCAACTCCTGACCTTATTCTTGGAGACTTCAACATTCAGGTTGATGTCACCTCGAATACCAAGGCCTCCCAATTCATCAACCTCAATTCTCATGACCTAAATCTCTCTATTCCAGTCACTTACTGGGGTGAGTCACACCTCTTACTTCACCAAGACTCAAAAGTACATACCACTACTATCTTGAATTCTGAAATGTTCCTCTTTGTGCTGTGTCCTTTAATGTCCTACCATCTTTCCTCCTAACTCAAGCTTCCTAAATCTATTGTTTTTCACCATTATCTCTAGTCCTTCAATTGTTCCCTGTTTTTTCTAGTCTATCACATCTGCTCTGGCTTCATTTTACTACCTCAACAATCATGATCTCCTATATGATTAACAATGCATTTACTTCACTCTTGATTCGTTTTTTCCACTGTTTGTTCCCTGCCAGCCATCAACCCTGTGTTACTTCCCCTTCATCCATGCTTTCCACTCCTTACTTCTGAAATGCTGAAATGTTGCTGGAAGAAGTAAATAATCACGTGGACTGATTCTCACATTTCATAGCAGTCTTTCAAATCATACACTGGCTAAAATCCTCCCCCGATCACCTATTCCAATGCCACTTTGCCCCAGTGAGAATATCAATGTAATGTGTCATGAATTCCCTTCCATTTCCCCTATGCCATACCTCACAACTCTATTCTATTTTCATCTATCTTTTCTTCCTTTGCTCTAAACTCTGAGGAAGAGTTGCACTTTCTCTTTTCCAAAGCCAACATATTTACTTATATTTCTATTTGATCCCCCTGTCTCTTCAAGGAGTTTACCCCATTGATCATTCCTTCTTTTTAATTGTCAGCCTTTTCTAATCTATGGGCTCCTTCTCTACTGCCTGATCACCTCCCACCCTTATTAACCTTGCCACCTGTGTCTTGGGCCCTTTTTCCTTCTCTACATTTTCTTCTTCAGTGATCTCATTCATCAATGTGAGTTTGATTGTAATCTTTGTACAAATGACACCGAATTCTGTGTATCTTGGCCCCAACCGTGCTTTTTAACTCTAATTCTACATTACCAATTACTTGCTGACTATCTCCACCAGGATGCCTTGTTTGCATCTTGAATTCAAATGACTCTGACAAGCCTGCAAATGATCTGACTCCTCCTCCGTCACCCCTAAACCCCACTCTAAACAGTTTCTGAATATATCTATCAGATTTGTAACCTTGGTATCATTGTTGAATCTTGCTTCTCTCTATCCCAACATATCATATTACCCGCCAAAATCTTATCACTTCTGCCTCCATGAAATCTCTTGCACTTATCACTTTTATTTACTTCACAAGAGAACAATCCTAGTTCAGACCCTCATTACCTCTTGCTAGACTATTCCAAAAGCCTCCCAATACATCTCCCTGCCTCTAGCTTCTCCATCTTCTTAAATCTTATTCTACACACTGCTGCCAAAATAATCTCCTTAAGGTAAAGGTCTGCCCATGTCACCCCTCTGTTCAAAATCCTTCAGTGACTCTACGATATGATATAAACCACTTGGCCTGGCATGTTAGGCCTTGGACTATCTGCATTCATTATCTTTCTAACTTTATTTCACATTATTCCCTTTCTCCCTCTGTGTTCCAAACTGGATTACGAGCTGTTCCCTGCATATAACATTCCAGCTACTACACACCTGTATATCTGCATAAGTAATAACTGGAATGCATTACTGTTTCATTTCTATTTCTCAGTAGTTAAAGGCTGGATCCTCCCAAACCTCTTTTCTTCCTTCATAAGTTAACTTGCATTATATTTGTGAGCAGTGGAATGTAAGCTCTGAGGACAGGGACTACTTGGTTTCTGCACCTCTAGCACCTAGCAGAGTAGATGCTTCATGTGAACGAACTGGATGAATCTCTACTTTTAGACAACACACTTATAGAAAGCAGAAACAAGACCATTTACTTTTCCTCTCCAATAGTATTCAGTAGAGTTTTGTGTCAACAACCAGCACTAGTTAAATGGTCACATAAGGATTTTTTATGATAGGCAATATTCTGATAAACTCTGTGGGGTTCAATAAAATTACAATGTTACAGATTTGTTTGAAAAGATTAAAAAATGTTTTTAGATATAATAAACTGCTTTAATAACAACTTATTTTTACATAAAACTTTCTGGTTTACAAAGCATTTTCTCCTAACAACCTTTCATGGTAAACATTCCAAGTATTCTCATCCCAATTTATGGGTAAAGAAAGTAGCTCACAGCAGCGGCGCCAAGAAAACACTGTCTGTAAGTACTGCATCTATGACTGGAACCCAGGCCACTGAGTCCCACGCCAGCACTTTCCAATTACCTCCCACAGCTCTATAGACATGTTGGACTCTTCACATCCCCACAGTCTACATATTCTTTGATATATGCAGGTTAATTTAGACTTTTCCTAATTTAAGATTTTCCAAGCAAAGTGCCTTTACTCCTCTTGGGCCTCAGCTTCTTCACTTGTAAGAATAAGTTATAACAGATAATCGATAATCTCTAAGGCCTCCTCCAGGTCTAAAATATGTTTCCTTACCTTGGCTTGCTTCAGGTAACGAAGAAAACCCAACTCTTCTGGTCGTAAAATAAGCAAAGCATGACCTCTTCCATTTATGCCTCTGGCTGTTCTTCCTACACGATGAATATATTCCTTAAATGGAAAAAGGAAATGTGATTTAAAATGTGGCCCCCATGTAAAAATATGCTGGCAATTTATGTTAGTTTCCAAGAATCTGTTAATGGTGGCACATCATCTGCACTCTTTATTTGTATGGATGGTATATTTGTTCTCAATTTCATTTTTTGTATAAAATAGGATTAACAGGATTACGAGAGTAACAACCTTTAGCATAAAAATCAGTAACAGCTACCTTTTTTCAGTGTCCTATTTATGTCAAAAGAACATAATGTAAATACCAAGACAAAAGAAGAGAGAACACCACAAGCCTTAGGAGGTCCAAATGACATGATGGCCTAGAAAAATGAAAACATTGTGACTTTTCCTAAAGTTGCAGTCTGTGACTTCTTATGGGTAGGAAGGTTTCTGGTGGAAAAACTCTCTATCAATGCTGACTGGTGACTCCTGGGCAACTTCTAGTCTAGTAGAGCTGCCTGGGGCACTAAGAGACCAAGGGCCTTGCCCAGTGTTATTGAGCCAAGACATGTCACAGGGAGGACTTGAATACACTTCTCCTTGATTCTGAGGCCGCTTCTCCATCCATTGTACCATGCTGCCTCTGCAAACTTGCTTGATACCAATTTTTCATGTTTAGGATATCATGTAATTTACAATCCATCAAATTTAGAGCATCTACATGAAATATATGGTATTGGCGCAAAGTTTCATGTACTCTCTTAATAAAGTTTTTGTTTCTTCCTAGTACACCTTCCATAGTGCCACCTTAATCCCTGTGAGCAATGTGTCTTCCAAAAAACAAGAGTACATATCGGCACAAATCTAACACTGTGGAATTACTTCACTGTTTAACATTAATCAAAAAACCCAGGGAAAAGATATTTGTTATGAAATGTTGTCAGTCATTTCCAGCTGTACTGGACACTATAGCATTTGTTAGGATATTATTTGTAAAAAATTTATCTTACAAAGAAGAAAAATAAACAATTCAGAAAATTAATCAGCACACTGACTGTGTGTGGAAGCAATCACCCACATAAGATAGTATCTGGAAGAGAAAGGATGACAGTTACCTTTGGATCATCTGGAGGGTCATACTGGACAATCCAATCTACTTCTGGGATATCTAGCCCCCTGGCAGCCACATCTGTACACAGCAAAATTCCAGAATCTGCATTGCAGAACTGAAAGAATGTAGTTGTCCGTTTATTTTGCTTCTGTTTGCCCTAGATTGAAAAAGAAATATATTACTGACCCACACTGTGAGCAGTTAAATATACTGCAATCACTAGGAGGATTCAAATCTCAAAAAGAAAGCTAAATCTGAGAACTCAAATCTAAAAAAAAAAATTAGGATTATTTTATAACATTCAAATAAAACTCCAAGACACAGCAAAAGGCACCAAATTACATTGAGACAGACAATAATGGGACAAACCACATAATACTCAACCCTTCAAGGATCTGAATCCCCAAGACTTACTTTTTCAGCCAGGTTATAGAAGCAGTAACTCAAAACCAAAGCACATAGTATCAAAACACTCAAAGTTCATTGAAAGGGTAGTGAGGTCATGTCACCTTCAGTGGTTTGGGATCCCATGCATCTCAATGGAGCTTTCAGTGATCTTTCTCCTTCTAAATTATTTCCTTTAACTTAGAATCCAAGGAATCTCCACAATCTGGCCCCAGTCTCCCTTTCCAGCCTCTTATTTACTATCCGAGATAAACTATGTCTGTAAGTCACACCTATTTACTCCCAGTTTCCCAAACATACAATGTGAATTCCCATCCCTAAAGGTTCAGCTCAAGTCCCATGTCTTCAGTGAAATCTTCCTTAGTCCTCAGTGATCTCTCTCTTCATCAGAAATAACACAAGCCTTATGATCTGTTACATTAATCTGGCATTTATAAGCTGTGCTGTACTGACAGTTATGCTCTCCACCATCAGGGCAGGGACTGTGCTTCATACCTCTTTGTTTTCCCAGAAACAAATAGCACAGTCTTTGAATACAAGAGCTGAGAACTAAATGTTTGCTGATCAACTTTAACGATGAGTTCACAGATTAGATTGGGAGCTTCAGATTGAACCCTTAGTCTGTAACATCACAAATATAAGATTTAAAAAAAAAAAAAAAAAAGGCAAAAAAGTCCTCGAACAGAACACTTACGTGAATGGCCATGACAGGTAAATCAATGTAGTTCAGAAGCTCATAGTGGTATTTCACTGACATACATGAAGAAAAAAATACCATCAACTTCTTCTTCCGGTTCTTCTTGAGGAATGTAAAGAGTAGAAGGAACCTTTTCTCAGATGGACAAACAACATATCCCTAAAAATAATTCAAGGGAACAATTACGTACCTCAACACTAGAAGAATCAGGTGCGTCAACTGACATAAAATTTTTTATTACAATTATACTTTAAAATAAAATTTTCACCTTATTTTCTTTGCCTTATTATGGATTAAAAAAATTACACTGAGTCAACTGATGCAGCTTGGTTCTTTCAGTACTTCTAATGTTAACCTTATGGCTTTTTTAAATAAAATGGTGATCACAAGAAGAACAAAAAAACTATTCAAAGATAAGGGCAATCTTTAGGCACCTATTTCCACACTGATGTATTCCAACCATTGGAATGAGAGCACTAGTAACACACACCCAATGTACTCATTTTTACAACCTACATTTAGAGAAGAATATTACATTGATAGTAACAATGATTTCCCAAAATAATCTAAGTGACCTTTTCATTTTAGTTATAGTTTTAAGTACTCTCTAACTACAAATAATTTCCTGCTGTAACCACTAGATATTTTATGCCCTTGATATTTTTAAAAGGGTTACTCATCCATGGTTTGGTTCCAATTCTGGATGGGATGAATAAACTGTAATATATGAAAACCTCAACTTACATGGATTTTTGTTCATTACTATATTCCATTTTTAGAAGAAAAAGGCAAATGACAAGAAAACAAACTTGAGAATTGAAAAAAATTTATACATATACATACATGGAACTGATGTTCAATCTAACAGCATAAGACATTACAATCTTCAAAAATAAGTCAATAAGAGTTAAAGGGTCACTGGTTTTTGATCTAAAGTCAGTTCACCAGAAAACCTAATTAACCATAAGACAATTTAACCTAGGCCCCATCACCTTATACCTAGATTATAATAGCCACATAGTTGGTTGCACTGATTTTTGACTTTGCACCTTATATTTTTTCTAGCTAACCCTTCCAAAATTATAGCTTTCCTCACAACTACTATTCAAGAACCTACTACTGTAGATCTTTGTTTTTATTCTTAAAATCTAACTCTTCTTCTTAGCATTCAAAACCTGTCAAAATATGAATCCATTCTACTTACCCAGATTTATGACCTCTGCTCATCAACACCCACACACCAACACCTTCTCCACTCACACTATTCTCACACTTGGCTTGGTGAAACTTTTTTACCTTGTTCAGAATGACCTTCCCCTTCTTTCTAATGTATCTAAATGCTTCTCTATACTTCAAAGATTAGCTCAGATTCTTAAATGTGGGTTCCTGAAAATACTTAATATTTTTGACAAGTGTATTTCAATATATTGATCTTCTTTGTAATCCTATGTGTTTTACTTAGGCACTTGAAAACATCATTATTCTCATAAGTGGTTCACAGGTTTCCCCAGACTGCCAATGGAGATGACACAAAAATGACAATAACACAAAAAGAGGTCAATGATCAATGTGGGTCCCACCCCTCCATATGCAACCTTTTCAAAGTGTTTCAGACCACACTGATGTAGCCTTTCTCTGAACTCTTCTTCTAATTCTTATTCTGTAATACACACCACACAGTTTAACTTCTTTATTTGTATTCTATTTATATTTGTATTGTATTTAATTGTATTCTAGTTGTTTCAAGAATCTTACACATGTTTCGCCAAGGGGAATGTGAGCCCAATGAAACACCTGTTGATTGATGTTCTTGAATTCAAACTGCACATTCCAACTGAAGGCTTACATCTATGACCAAGGACATGCCACTTAACCTATGGGCTCTAGTTCGCTCATTTGTACAATGAGGGTTTGGATTAGATTATCTCAAAGGTTCCTTCCCGCTCTGAATCCTATGATATTAATCCCCATGAACTTATAAATCAGGGACCACAAGATCACAACTGCTGGATGAAAGTTACCAACACATGTTAATACTGATATAATAAGCAAAGACAAAAACAACTAATGCAAGTAAATTTTGTGACAAGCAGAAAAAAATTAAACAACCACTTTTAAATATTAATATGGGTGAAATACTGTGTTAGGGGATAAACATTTATATATATATATTTTTAAAGTTTACCAAGTGATTCATGTCATTTTCTCATTTGGGCTTCCCAACAACCCAGTGACATATATACTACAGATATCATTATCCTGGTACCTCTAAATTACATGTTCTCAGAATCCTAGACAAGTTAATCCACTGGTCTTTGAAACTTCTTCCAGAGGATCCAGCTACCTTGGTGACTGAGTTAAGTTCAAAATTAGCCAGCGATATCTGCTAGCTGGCCCCAGCCCCCAGTACCCACACCACCTGACTGCCCCTGACTGTAACCCTCTTCCTCTGCTCTTTCCACCTCTTGCTCTGTGCACACTAATCAAATCAAAAGTAATAGTACCATTGCTCCTAGATGAAGAGTTTGTCAAATGACTGCCCTATGCATCAACTTACCATGGTACCATGGAAAGAATACTGGTTCTAGAGTCAGAGGATATGGGTTTGAATCCTACTTCTGATTGCTTGGCACCTGTGTGACCTTGGGAAAGCTGCTCGACCTCCTTAGGTCTCAGTTTCTTTATTTGCAAAAGCTGGACTGAGGGACTGACTTTAAGGTCCATCTCTTCGAGTATTAGTACTACCATGCAATGATCCATCCTTTGGTGCCCAGACCAAAATGCCCTTCCGAAGCCACCATGTCCTTACACAATGTAGTTTTTCCTTGTAAGACTGAAAGCCTCTTGAGGTCAGGGACTGTCTTTCCCTATACATGTCCCCAAATATTGGCAAAAGTTACCTGTTCAAGACCATCTACTGTTGCGGTATCTTTATCATCATCAACACCAACATATAATGGTTCCTTTTTAAGGGAAATCTTTGCCAGATCTTCCACCTTACGAGTTTGCGTGGCAGAAAAGAGCATTGTTTGTCTGCGTTCTAAAACAAAGATGGTATACAAATAGTGTAATCCTTTCAGAGAATTCCAACTATTTTACACTTGAATGAAACTTTCCCATAAAAAAAGTGTTAATGACTATCTCATAAAACATATATGCTTTGCAAATTCATTCATTTTTCTCTATACATGCAAAGAACAACATTCAAACAAAAAATCAATGCATGGAATGTTACACAAATGAAAGCCTTTATTATCCTTCATATCTATAGCCTTATTTCTATTTTCTGTCCTCCCCATTTTTGGTAACCTGGACATTTGTTAATAGTTTTGCTTTCTGACCCAGCTGTCAAATTTAACATCTTTCAATATACAAGCTTCAAAAAAGCAGAGAGCACAGTTCAGCACTGAGATGAGCTGCAAGGACTTGACCTTGGGACAAAATCACTAAAATTTCATTTTTCCCAAACAAAGGTAACCTTAACTGAGTGTCAGTGGGGTACAGTACAAAAGGCCCTAGATTTGGAGTCAGAGGATCTTGTTTTGAATCTCCTCTCTGTGACTGACAGATCACTTAAGTTCTCTGAGCCTGTTTCCTCATGTATAAAATGAGAGGCTGGATTAGATGTCCTTTGAGGTCCTTTCCAGCTCTAAGATCTATTATCCAAAACATTCATAATGTCAGTCAAAGTAATTTATTAAAATGGATAAACACTATTTTTATTTATTTTTTTGGGAGGCGATTGGGGTTAAGTGACTTGACCAGGGTCATACTAGTAGTAAGTGTCTGAGGCCAGATTTGAACTCAGGTCCTCCTGCCTCCCGGGCCAGTGCTCTATTCACTGTGCCACCTAGCTGCCCCTACACACTACCTTTTAAGCAATTGCTGTATTTCAGAAATGGCTAATAAGCTCGATCCATAAGTCTACATTTAAAATCTACAACTGTAAATGTCAAATTAGCAAAATAAATTCCCTCTTCAAAATGAAATACTCTAAATTTATAAATGGGATTGTTGTCTTTATAAAAGCAATAAGAAGACCAGAGTTTTATTGGCATTTTTGTCTTTGTTTTGGGAAAGTAGACATAACTGTCTATTTTATAACTTGAATACATGGGAAGTACTAGGTGGATGGGGAGATAACTTGATTGGGGGAGGGAACGAGACAGTTTGTGCCTTTTATCTTAGATATTAACCTCTTGGATGTCTGTGAAATAGCTTTATACAGCTTTATACATCTATGTATCACATCTAGGTAAGTGGCTTAATGTTTTGAATTTTTTTTTTATTTGTGCCTTCAATGATATTTTGGAAAAAAAAATCCACATTGAGAAGTTAACTTTAGGATTTGACCCCACCCAGAATTTCATTATTATTAACACAAGATTTTCTTAACGGCAACATCATTTGCCACCTCCACACAGCCCCAAACACAATGAGTGTGCTTAAACTATATGCAGAGTTGACTCACTTGGCAGAAGTTTGATGATCTGCTTCATTTCTTCCTCAAACCCAACCTCAAGAATTCGGTCAGCCTCATCAATAACAAGACACTGCAGGTTTTTAAACATAAATCCTGGGGTATTCTATAAAATAAAGAAGCAGAAAGAAGCCTGTTATCTACATGTTTATTCTTTAGGGGGAAGGGAAAAATAAAGGACAAGCTGCATGAGATTTACCTGCATGTGGTCCAGAAGTCGGCCAGGTGTAGCCACAATAATGTTGATCCCATTTGCAAGTTTCTGTGCCTCTGCAGATCTGTTACTGCCCCCCATGATCAAACCATAGGTATGTACATGGTGAGACATTAGTTCCTTAAGCACACCGAAGGTTTGCATAGCCAGCTCCCGAGTAGGTGAGAGGATAAGGACCCCTGTTCCTAAAAAAACAAAAAAACAACCAAAAAACAAACCCCAAAGCCCAACCCCACTTAGAAAATAATGACAAAATCAAACAAACAGTCTTAAGTCACAAGAGTAAAAATAAGTTATATTTTAAAAGAGACATAAATAAGAAATTGAGAGCTTACCATTCCTAGGCATGAACTTTAACTTAACAATGAGTTCTATGGAAGGGATGAGGAATGCTAGGGTTTTGCCACTGCCTGTTTTTGCAGCTGCTAGAATATCCCTATTATTTTAAAAACAAAAGAACATGTTTAGTCTAGTATACTAACAATGCTGGAATGAAAAAAAATGTGTCTCATTCTAGAAAAGTACCAAACCAAACCAAAAATGTATCATCTACAAGGTAACACATCTATTACTCTTTTTCCCTAACTGGTTAATTCTCAGTATTTTTTGGTGCTTTACATAAAAACAAATTAAAATACCACGTAAATATTTATCAAGGTAGACAGATACTTTAATTCATCTTGTACCAAATGAAGATACCATATTGCCTTAGCGACAATAACAATGATAACTACCATTTATATAACACTTGATATTTTGCAAAGCATTTTACAACTATTATCACATTTTTAGCCTGAAAACCATCCTGGGAGGCAGGTGCTATCATTACCCCCATATTACAGGATGAGGAAAGTGAGGCAGACAGAGAAAAGTGATGTGACCACATAGCTAGTAAGTGTAGTTCATACTTGCACTCAGGTCTTCCTGAGTCCTAGTCTATCTGTACTGTGCCACCTCATAATACATACCAACGTTCACTTTACCTGCCTTCTAGAAGTGGTCTGATACTTTTATGCTGAATCTCAGTCATGTTAGTAAAGCCCATTTCTGCTATTGCCTTCAGAGTGTTTTCATTGACAATATTACTAAGTGAAGTGAATGAAGTATCCTCAAAGGACCCTAGACAGAAATAGTTGACCATTAGCAAACTTTATCTTTTAAGATGAACATTACCAGTTAACTAAATGCTTCATGTTGATGATTTTAGTTTTATTAAACTAGGAGACTAGCTTAGGAAAACCTTTTAAAATAAAGTCATGATTTGATCATTATTTCTGCATGACGGCAGCTGGAAAGAGACATTAGTTTCTTTACTTCTAACCATAAGTAGTTGTGAAGTTAGGAGTTAGGAATCAAGAGAGATGCTGTCATCAAGGTGAAAAAAGGGTGACTAAAGATAAATGCTTTCCTTACAACATTTCCATTTTGCCAATGAGAAAAGAGAAGTTCAGAGAAGTTACAGGAACTTTCACTGGTCACGTGATTAATAAGCATTAGAGTTCCAACATATGCCCAGGTGTTCTGACTCTAAGTCTAGTCTTTTTTTTTACTATATGATCCTGCCACTCAGATCAGAGGGCACCAGTGTGAAGGACTGGAGGAACTGGAAATTGATAGAACAAAAGGGATATGAGGCTGCAGAGTGACAAAGTGGACAAAAAAGGGAAAATGACAAATGTTGGAGGGGATGTGGGTAAACAGGCACATTGATGCATTGTTTGGATGAGATGTGAAGTGGTATAGATATTCTGGAAAGCAGCCTGGAATTGTGTATCCCCTTTGGCCCAGTGATACCATATATTTTTCCAAACAGGAAAAAGTGTTAAATGTATAAAAATACGTATAGCACCTCTTTTTGTAGTGGCAAAGCTGGAAATAAGGGGTCATCCATCAATGCAGAATAGCTGAACAAACTGTTACATGAATGTATGGAATACTATTATGCTATAAGAAACGATGAAGGCGATGGCCTCAGCATTATATGGGAAGATGTCTATGAACAGAGTAGAACCAAAAATAATACTTTGTAAACAACTGTAAAATAACATTGCAAATCAACAATTCTGAAAGATATAAGAACTCTGATCAAAGCAATGATCAACCATGATTCCACAGGACAAATTATGAAGCACGCTACCCATCTCCAAGTGATGACTTAATATGCAGAATGGGACACATTTTTTAGTATGTGGCCCCTATGTGGCTTGACTGTACATATCTGTTACAAAGGTTTTGTTTTTCTTCTCCCCCCCTGCCCCCACAATGGAGGGGAGAAAAAAAAAGCTTGATAAATTGAAAAAAAAATTGCAAATTTAAAAAAATGAAAAGAAGTGTTTGGACTGATCAAATCAAAGGGATTTTGGATGTTTAAGAAATCAGAAGCAGAAAAAAGAGGGACACTCATTCAACATTACATAAGAAGCAGAAAAAGTTAAAAGGAAAAAAATGAGAATTTAGAGGTCCTTAGAATGTAAAAATAATAGCTAGTATTTGTAAAGTCTTTTAAAGGTGCTTTACATATATCATCCCATTTGATATGAGCTGGGTTCCATTCCATTTTACAGATAAGGAAAGTGAAGCTGAGAGGGGTTAAGTGAATTGCTCAGGATAACAAAGCTATTAAATGCCTCAGTCAGGATTTGAACTCAGGTCTCCCTGACTCCAAGTCCAGCATTCTATCTACTATACCACCAACCTGGTTCCAATTAGATATATCAAAGTAGCTCATGTTAAAGAAAGAGATAGAAAGTGGGAGGGAAGAAGAGAGGGCAAAGGAGAGGAGGTTTACATTCAGAAAGCATACTGAAAATTACCTGTTAGACCATGAGGAAGGCTGGGCATTTCTGCATCTTCTTTTTGATCCTCCATGGAGTTTTCTTTTATTTTGGGATCTTTCTCATTTTCATCATCAGATGCCTCTTGGTCTTCTGTTTTTGCTTTTTTGTTTTCTGGTAAAAGAAAAACACCACACCACCCCAACTCCAATGAGAAAATTTCTCAAAATAGACAAAACTAATGAGATACTCTCTTAGAATTCACAGGAAGAAGACATGTAACAAACCTAGGAAACAAATTTCAAAAATTCAAAAAACTGATTTCAATTTGCTAATCATTTTTAATTCTCTAAATCACTATTTATATCAAGTTTCAATCAGAGTAATTTATGAGGTCACTTTACTGGAAATAGTTTTGAAATCCCACTCATGCTTGAAGGTCTGATTCAAATTCCATCTTCTCCATTAAGTCTTCTCTGACTGCTCGATGAGATTTTTTTCTCTCCTTTGAATTCTCACAACACTTTCTACTTGTCATGTATTTTTATATTTGAATTCATGTCTTATCCCTTAGCACTAGATTCCTTTTCTCCCTTAAGCTTCAGTCTTGCTCGTCACTTGTTCGTCACCTTGCAGTCACTTGCTTGTCTATTAAACATTTCAAACTGTATATCCCAGAGATATCTCAAACTCAACATGACCCAAGCTGAACTCATCATCTCCCTCCCTCTATCCCACAACTCATTTGAAAAAACCTCCTTATGAGTGTGGAAAACACCACCATCCTTCCAATCTCCCAAGTCTGTACCCTCAGGATTATCCTGGACACCTGTCTTCTTGACCCCACATGTCTAATCAGTTGTCAAATCTTTTTGTTTCTACCTCACAACATTTCTCATCTTCCTTTCCACTCTATTAAGGTAAAATTTATTAAGGGCTTTCTATATACTAAGCAATGAGGAAGATACAAAGGGGAATAAAGTTATCTTCCTTACCCTGAGTCAATCAATCAAGGATCTGTTAAGCATGTACTATGTACCAGGCATCCTGGTATCTTGCTCAGTATACAGAAAATTATTCTTATGTAATCAATTAGGTAATACAATCAGCTGAAAAGCCCTAATTGGATTTGCTTTAAAATTTATTTTGCCTCTACACATATTATCAAAACCAAAGCAAGCTAAGGACATCAATTATGCATGGTTTCAAGAGTCCTCAATGTAATGCTGAATTTTGTTAGTATAATGTGTTAAAGAATGTGCTGCATTTGCTTTTCCATGCTCATTTATAAACTAGGATTTTGCCCCCTATACAAATGAAATCCGAAAATTTCTGTAAAGTCTTTTTTGCAAAATGAGAGGAAAAATCTACTAGCCAGGGAAAAGAAGAGATGGTAAATCTCAAAAAGAAGTACATTAAGAATCTTCTGAAAAAGAGCCTTTTGAGGGAGATCAAATACAAAAATTGCTGTTATTTTTAAGCTCACCTTCCCTCTATCTGGCCTCAAGTTCCATTTCTGGTTGTTATCTCCAACTTCTGATTTTCCCCAGTCTATGTTGACTGGTTTATAAACAAATGAAACTGAAGCCCATTGGGACTCTTACAGATCATCTAATTTAACCCCTTCACTTTAAAGGTAAGGAAATGGGAAGCCCTGAGACTGACTTGTCCATGGTTTACCCTCTGAGTTTGTCACTTTGGCCATAAGCTGAGCCAACAAAATCATCTCAAGACCATGGAAACGTGAACTCATCTGCACACTGTCTTTGCCTGACCTCTCATTTTCCCAAGAAAAGCTCTCAAACAAGAGAACTAACTTTCTCAAGCCAATTGTTCAGCACCTGAAAATACACCCCAAACACAAACCTTTGCTATATTCACTTCAGTGACAGAAAAGCAGGGTCACAGTTAGTTTATACTAAAACTGGAAGGCCCGATCATATTCCTCTTTCACTTGAATTTGTGTTTATTCACGCAATTTCTTTCTAAACATACACAAATAATAGGTTTTATTCAGCGGGGAAAAAATAATCTTGGAAATCTCAATCTGCCTTGAACAGAAAGACTACCTAGGGGAGTTTCTTAGCAATAATCTTTTAAGTATTAAGTGTCCTTGTATTCAGAAAACAAGAACAGATTACTCATTTTTCTGCTCCCTGTGCATTTCTGATATACAACTACTTATGTATCAACTGGCAAAAAGTATAGAAAAATCAATGGAATTTTAATCAAGTTCAATTTATTTTCTAAATAGAATCATACCTCTTTGAGAGGAAGAGGGAAAAAATTCCTATTTTTCTTGCAAGGCTCAGGCCAAACTTCAGCTCCTGAAGTTTTGCTCACCCCCAAATTAAGAGTCAGATCAAAGAGACCTCACTTCAATATCCCTTCACAGATCACTCCTGCCTAGTCATCTCTCTTCTCTGAACACCTGCAATGCTCACAGTGTCTATCACCCACTGAAAAAAAGTCATGTACTTAATTCCTCAGAGACAGAAGTATGGAATTGGACTAGACAACCTCTAAGGTTTTAAGTTCTATGGGGCTATTTCAAAAGATCTACAATCTCACAACCACAGTTACTCCCTCTGTCCACTGATGTAGAATCCAACTCTTCCATGCCTTAGCAGATGTTTTCTTGAGCCACTGTGGCTAAAAAAATGGAAACATGTTTTGGTGATTAATCACTGCAAATTAGCTAGTCCTCACATGACAGACACAATTCAGCACTGGGCCCATGCTTTAAGGTTTTCTGATTCAGGAGTACATGCTTTGGTTTATGTTCTACCAGAAGAATCTTTAAGAACTCAACATTTAAATTAAAACCTAAAAAATTTATATGTATGTGTTAGTTTGGGGATAAATTAAAAAACAAGATACTATCTCAATGCATAGTCATCTGATCCACAAGTGGTTGGAAGTTAAGCTCTCCTGGGATTTTAAGTATCTTTAGTGTTGACAATGCCACCATAACTCTTTTGAAGTCAGAAGTACAAGGGACCTTACAACACAGATTACTTACTGGGGGATTTCCTTGCCCAGCACAGCTCTAATTGTCTCTAATGTTTAGTCACAGTCCTTATTGCTCACTATGCCATTCCAACTGTCTTTCCTCTACCCCTAAACCCATAATGCTGGTACAGATCTAAGAGACCATCAAGTCTAACTCCCTCATTTTACAGAGGAGAAAACTGAGGCTCAGACAAGTGAGATAACCTGTCCAAGGTCACTTCATACATAACCACTCGTAGCCTCAAAGGCCACCATCCATGCCTATTTCAAAACAGTAACTTGGTATATAGTAGGAATAATCATTCCACACACAATATGATTCGAAGAATAAAGATAAGCAACAAGGATGTTCCCTACCCTCAAACAATTTACACTTGGCTTAGGGAAACAAACCGATGAAAATTTTAAAATAAAATAGGATGTCACAAGACAGTACCTGACAGTAAGTGCCAAATATGTGGCAAAGACAATACTGAAGTTTAGTGAGGGAAGAGATCACTGTGCACTAGAGTGCTTAGGGGAGAGCTTGTGAAGACTTCACTTTGACAGGACTTTTTTTTCCAGCTATTTAGTTTGACAGAAAAAGTCCAATTAGGGATAAAGAAAAGATGATATCTAGAATTCAAATATGACTTTTTATTGTGAGTTTTTCTTCAAGGTTATTAAGTCTATTTAACTCAATTTCTGGCATAATTTTTTTTTAAGGTTAAACACAATTATACAAAAGCAAATAGCTCTACAATGGCCAGTGTAGACAGTTTAGGGGCCCTCACCCACTAAACTATCTAAACGATATCCCCTTGAGGAGAGGGGGAATATAGCAGGTGGTACTGACATTTCTGTGAAGACACAGGTGGGTATACCTGGAGGCAAGATGGATGGAGTGACACAGCACTTAAGGACCTCAGAAATTTTTGGACCTCTGCTGGGTAGGGAAATGCATTGTCCTCCTCAGTAAATCTATAGTGTTTTAGTCATTTGGGCAAATGAATAGTTCCAATGACAAAAAGATGGCTTCTAAAGAATCCAGGAAAAAAAAGAGGTGACCTACCAGGTCCTGCATCAGCTGTTATTTTTCGCTTCTTCTTCTTTTTCTTTTTTAATTCAGAACTGGGGAGCTGTGCAGTTGATTCTTCACTGGCTGCTAATACTGTAGATTTCTTGGGAGATTTTTCCACTTTTATTTCTTCTACTATTTCTTCTGATACATGCTCATCTTGGGCTTCTGCTATATTGGCCCTCAAGGCCTCTGTCAAAAAAAACAAAAACAAAAACAAAAAAACAAAGACAAAGTTGTATGCCTCTAAAATTCTGTAAGTCAATAATTTAAATAATTTAGCTGCTAAAGAATTAACCTATGACTGCTATCCAAAATTACAATACTTTATTTTTTTCACTTGTACTTTATGTGGCATTCATACAGCTCTAACCCATTTTTACCATACAGATATTTTGTGTGGCTCAATAACCTGAGAGCTTGGCAATATTTCCTTCCTTCAGATAAAGAGCAGAGAAAATAGTGAAGCTCTCATTGATTCTATTCCCCCCGACACATAACCAAGTGGCATTTTAATAAGAACTTATTATAATAGTTTAGTAGGCACCACAAAGAACTAGTTAAAATATATCCTTGGCATTCTAAAAGAACAATAATTATCGTAATTAGCAGGTAAAAGAATACAATTATCCCAGACCCCCCCAATACCGAAATTGTAGAAGCTCAATAAATATTAAGCGCAGCCATGTGGTGTGGTAGATAGAGAGATGGGCCTAGAGTCAGGAAGATCTGAGTTCAAATCCAGCCTCAGATACTTACTAGCTTATGTGACCCTGTAACCCTCTTTGCCTCAGTTCCCTCATCTGTAAAATGAGCTGGAGAAGGAAAAGGCAAATCACTCCAGTATCTTTGCCAAGAAAACTCCAAATAGGGTCACGAAGAGTCAGATATGACTGAAATGAATGAATAACAACAAAACAAATATTTGCCTGATAGGTTGAATGTGGCTTTCATTCATCACATCACGTTCTGATTCTCCTAAAGTCACCGTTAAGCCATTTCTACAACCACTACATAAAGTCTTAAGTGTTCCAAATTCTCCCATAAAATTATCAACTGATGATACCACTCATTTAGCTAATATTTACCTTTAGTATAATCCTATTTTATATGCTCTTCCTTATCCAAATGAAAAACCAAAATGCTTATTACCCTTATATAATTCAAATCACAATTTGTATACTGTAGTCTGTCTCTGAAACTTACTTCCCATAGGCCCTTTTGAAAAGTTAACCTTTCTGTGTCTCAGTTTCCCCATCTGTAAAATGAAGGAGCAGAACTAAAATATCTCTAATGTCCCTTTAAATTCTATATCCATGAATTTTTTTTTAAACATGATTCTTTTGTAGTAAGAAAAGCAGGCAAGGCACTCAATACATTATTTCTGGGAACCTCACACTGTTTCTCAGGACATCTGTCAATCAACATTTAATGACCTCATATTATCTTCAAAGCATAATTCTAACAGATTTGTTCTTCGGTTGTTCAAAGCCCACCTTGACTGAGATTATAAAGAGTTACAGGCTACTCCTGTCTAGCTTTGCTGTCACAAGTCAAGCACAGCTATGGCAGAAGGCAAAAGCTGATATTCCAAGTAGCCTTTACATACTTTTGATTACAAACAAAAATGGGGAGAATAGGGACATGCTTGCTGCAAGTGATGCCTATTTCAACACATGCAGCAATTCACTGATTCATTTACACAACCAATATTTACTGAGCTCCTACAAAACAATCTGCTAGGTGCTAACATAATCAATAAATTCAAGGATCCTGCAGAATAGCTCAGAAGGAAGATTAGGATATTTAACAACTACATAAGTGCCATGTGTGAAGTACCTATAATCACTTTGAACTTAATAGTATATGCAGAAGGTTTCATAAAGGTGTTAGTTGGATTGGGCCTTGGAAAATAATTAGGATTTTTACAGGTTGAGAAAATGGAGAGGATATTCTAGATAGAAGGAATAGCATGAGAATAAACACAGAGGCTAGTAAAAATCATGTTTGGGGAAGGGACTATGAGTGGTCCCACTAGGATATATAGAGTGTTTATAGGGGAGTAGTGGGGGAGGGGTTGGAAAGGTAGGTTAGAACTAGACTGTGGAAGCTATTAAGGGAAGGCTAAGAGGTACAGATTTTATTTAATAGGCAAAAGGGAGTCACTAAATATTTTTAATCAAAGGTTTGAAATAACTATTAATAACCATAACTAAGTGCATTATCAAGTATAACTTGACAGTGGTATGTGGGATGCTTGGAATGGGGAAAGGAAGAGATGTAAGTTAGGAACAACTGGTAGTAAAACTCATTTAGTCTGACCTCTCAAGTTAGGAAGTAGCAGGTCCAAGGTTTCAAAGCTACTTAGTAGCAGCACTGAGATAAGAACACCTATCTCTTGATTTTTATTTCAGTCTTTTCTATTAAGCCACACTTACATAGCCCTTAACAAATTAATAAATAACAATATAAAAGTTTATATTCTGTATATTAATAACAAGGACTTGGTGCTATATTGTACTACATATATCCAACACTTAAGTGCTGAGGAGGTAGGATATATGTAGATATTGAAGAAAGCATTTTTTTAAAAAAAAGTTTAAATCCCTGTCCTCGAGGAACTTACAACATCTTATGGCACGGATTCTTAACTTAGGAGCCACAGACCCAGGGATCCCACTTCAGGAAGGTCTGTGCCCCTGGATGATAAAACAAAAAAAAAAACATGTTTATTTCAATATAATTAGTTTCATTTACAATTTTTAACATTTAAAAATATTCCAAGAAGTCTCCACCAGACTACCTAAGAGGTCCAAGAAACAAAAAAGGTCTAACACCCCATGTTTTAGATGAAAACATACAATACAAGCTGAGAATACAATCTACCATATAGGACGAGGCAAAGTGTTTATAGGTATTCCGAGAAGGGAGAAGTCAAAGTGGATGGGCTGGCTTGGGAAGGCCAACCTTTTAGCCAGAACCCTAGAATACACTGACAAGGCAGAAGAGAAATGCATCAGGCCCTAGCTCAGGATCCAGGCAGGGATTACCTGGCCACTGTTACTCATAAAAAGATTACAGGTGGATTTTGGTTCAGGATCAAAAAGAACCTCAATCACAAAAATACAAACAGTGAAACGAGGTTCTTGTTTTCACAGTTAAGACAGTGACAGCAAGGGCTTTTTTTCCGGGCCTTAGCGAAGGCCTGCAGACCGTCTGAAGAGGCGGCTGTTATGTCTCTGGGAAAGGTCCGCCCGGGGCTGGACGCTGGAAGCAGGGCTTCGCGCGGAGGATCACTGCGGAGGGCCCAGTGGTGTGGGAGCCTCCGGGGGCAGGGCCTTGCCTCAGGCTGAGGTGCACGCCGCGTCGTCCCCTGCAGTCCAGCCCCGGATGCACCGGCGGGCCCTCAGAGCCTGGACAGTCTCCGCCACCAGTTTGGAAACATCTTAAGAAAGGAGGGGTCGGGCTTTTCGGACCATCCGACGCCTCCCCAGGGCACCCCCAGAGCGTCTGGAAGCCCGGCCTGAGCCTGGCCGGCCACCATAGCGGCCCCGCGGTCCGGACCCCGCCCCAGCCAGGCCTCACCTTTCTGCTTCAGCCGCTGGTTCCTCTGACGCAGCTTCTCGTTGCGCTTCTCGATCTTCTTGCGCAGCAACTTCATCGGAAGGTGCGACATTTTGCCTGCTGGCCTCGTTCTTCTCCTCCGTCACTTAACGTGTCTTGTTCCTGTCGCCGCTTCCTCACTCTTCTTTCTCGGACCACACGTGGGAGCACGTCGGAAGCCGGAAATACATAGAAGACCACTTAGCACACAGCACAAATGCTTCCGGGGCAGGTGGAGGAGGCAGGCGGTGAGACGGTAACCTCTGGCAGCCAGGACCTGACGAGCGTCCCCTGCGGGAGAGGAGGTCGCATTGCTTCTGCTGATATCTTTACTCCGACACAGACGGGAGGGTTTTAAGCCCAAACCTCCAGGACCTGAGCGTGGGGAGATCGCTTTCATGTTTCACCCTTTACTCGCGATACGGATGAGACGGCGAAAGTTCTTGATTCCAGCAATTCTGGCCTGGTCCTGTGCCTTGAAATTAATTAAAAATAATGAACTGGGAGTCAGAGTAGGGAAAGGGGTGGGAAGGAAAGGGAGGGGAGGAGAGAGGAGATATTGCCTTCCTTTCCCTTTCAATCCAACAAATAATAGACTTAAAAAAAATTTTTAAATTATTCCCCCAATTACACATTAAAACAATTTTAAAACTTTATTTTTTTTTAAGTTTTGAGTTACAAATTCTATCCCTCCTTCCCCTCTCCCCTCCCTGAGACAATAAGCGATCCGATTTAGGTTATACATGTGCAATCATGTAAAGCATTTCCGTATTAGTCATTTAGTACAAAAATACTATAACAAAAAGTTTTAAAATACTTAAAATACTATGTGCAAAGTACTGTGGATTAAAAAATGAAAGTCCTCACTATATCTCTGCCCTCAGAGGGCATAATAGACTCTGTCATTCATGGGATGATCCCTGTTTGGAAGTTTCATTAGCAATTTTTCACAAAGTGGTCTTCCTAAACCTGAAAAGGAGTGGAGGAAGGTGTTTTCTCATATATCTTTGTTGAGGCCACCATCCTTTTAAATCTAATTCTTTCAATTAAAAATATATTTTCTCTCCCTCCCTCCCCACCACTAAAAAACAAAAACAAAAGGTATCTTACATCTTTTTTATTTCTTCTTGAATTGTTGTTTTTGTTTCAAAAGGAAAGCAGTTCTGTCTTGTCTAGCCAGCCATGCCTGGGGAAAGGATACTCACTTCTCTGATATTTCAGGGCCACTAATGTTCTCTGGTGATGTTATTACATGACTGTGTTTGGCTTGTTTTCCTGTAACTTAGCTGCTCCCCAGTAAATTGTTGCATCTGATTGTCTTCCTTTGCCTGGCTCTTCTTAACTCTTGCCATCTTCTGGGTCAGCTGTAGTCTTCCACATGAGATTAGGAGTGAGCTCTGCTATCTCTCTCTTTCTTTTTAACATGTATTCCAGACATTAAACTTGGGCCCTCTTTAGAGGGAAAGGAAAGCCCTCACGTATCTGTGTGTCAGACTAGGGAAAAGCAGATTTCTTTCTGTCAGCTCCTATCATAAAACCATCCATTTTCTGACTGTGCTTTTTCACTGGCTGTCCCCCGTGTCAGGAGGGCTCTTCTTCTTCCTTATCTTTGCTTCTTGGCTTTCCTGACTTCCTAAAGGACTCAAGTCAAGTACTACCTTTTGCAGGAGACCTTTTCCAGTGTTCCCTCCCCCAATACTAGCATTTTTCTTCGGAGATTATGTATTTTCCATTGACATGGTTCATATATCTTGTATGTATAATTTTTTTCTTGTCATCTCCTCCATTAGAATGTGCAGGAACCTTAGTTTGGCCTTTCCTTTTTTAAAAAATTAATTTATTTTTAGTTTTTGACATTCACTTTTATAAGATTTTGAGTTCTAAATTTTTTCTCCCTCCCCTTCCCCCCCAAAACGGCATGCAATCTGATATAGACTATACATGTACAATCATATTAAACATATTTCCACATTAGTAATGCTGTGAAAGAAGAATCAGAACAAAAACAAGAAAAATCACGAAAAATAAAAAACAACAAAAAAACCCCAATAAAAAAAGAGAAAATAGTATGCTTCGATTTGCATTCAGACTCCATAGTTCTTTCTTTGGATTATGCACATCCAGATAGCACTTTCCATTATAAGTCTTTTGGGATTATCTTAGATCATTGCATTGCTGAGAAGGGTTAAGTTTATCAATATTAGTCATTGCACAACATAGCTATTATTGCATACAATGTTCTCCTGATTCTCTGCTCACTTCACTCGGCATCAGACCATACAAGTCTTTCCAGGCTTTTCTGAAATCAGCCTGCTCATCATTTCTTATGGAACAATAGTATTGCATTACATTCAGGTAAACTATTCCTTGCTCTCCTAGTTTGCTTTATATCTAAATCATGTACCCATTTTGACTTGATCTTGGTATATGGTGTAAGGTGTTGGTCTATGCCTAGTTTCTGCCATAATATTTTCCAGTTTGCCTAGCAGTTTTTGTTACATAGTAAGTTCTTATCCCAGAAGTTGGAGTTTTGAGTTTATCAAACAATAGATTACTATAGTCATCACAACTTGTTCAGCCATTCCTCAAATAATGGGCATCCCTTCAATTTCCAATCCTTGGCCACAACAAAAAGAGCTGCTATAAATATTTTTTTACATGTGGATCCTTTCCCCATTTTTATGATCTCTTTTGGAATATACACGTAGAAGTGATATTGCTGGGGCAAAGGGTATGGACAATTTTATAGCTCTTTGGTCGTAATTCCAAATTGCTCTCCAGAATGGTTGGATCAGTTCACAACTCCAATAATGCCTTAGTGTTCCATTTTTCTCAAATCTTCTCCAACATTTATCATTTTCCTGTTTTGTCATATTAGCCAATCTGATCAGTGTCATGTGGTACGTGAGAGTTGTTTTGATTTGCATTTCTCTAATCAATAGTGATTTAGAGCATTTTTTTCATATGACTATAGATAGGTTTTTTGTTTGTTTTATTTTATTTTATTTTTTTTTGTGAGAAAATCAGGGTTAAGTGACTTGCCCAGGGTCACACAGCTAATAAGTGTCAAGTGTCTGAGGCCAGATTTGAATTCAAGGCCTCCTGACTCCAAGGCCGGAACTCTATCCACTGTGCCACCAAGCTGTTCCAACTATAGATAGTTTTAATTTCTTCATCTGATAGTTTAATTTCTTCATCATATCCTTTGACCATTTATCAATTGGGGAATGACTTGTATTCTTATAAATTTGACTCAGTTCTCTATGTATTTTAGACATGAGGCTTTTATCAGAGACACTGGTTGTAAACATTCTTGCACAGTTTTCTGCTTCCCTTCTAACCTTGTTTGCACTGGCTTTGTGCAAAAACTTTTCAATTTAATGTAATCAAAATTATTCATTTTGTATTTCATAATGTTCTTTATCTCTTATTTGGTCATAAATTCTTCCATTCTCCATAAATCTGATAGGTAAACTATTCCTTGCTCTGCTAGTTTGCTTTATATCTAAATCATATACCCATTTTGACTTGATCTTGGTATATGGTGTAAGGTGTTGGTCTATGCCTAGTTTCTGCCATAATATTTTCCAGTTTGCCTAGCAATTTTTGTTAAATAGTAAGTTCTTATCCCAGAAGTTGGAGTTTTGAGTTTATCAAACAATAGATTGTTTATCAAACAATACTTTAGTCATTGATTACTGTGTCTTGTGTCCCTAACCTATTCCACTGATCCACCAGTCTATTTCTTAGCCAGTACCAAGTAGCTTTGATGATTGCTGCTTTATAATACAATTTAAAATCTAGTACAGCTAGGCTACCTTCCCTTGCATTTCTTTTCATGAATTCCCTTAATATTCTGGACCTTTTGTTCTTCCAGATGAATTTTATTTTTTCTAACTCTATAAAATGATTTTTTGGTAGTTTGATTGGTATGGCACTGAAAAGTAAATTAATTTAGGTAGAATTGTCATTTTTATTATATTAGCTCAGCCTACTCATGAGCAATTGATATTTTTCCACTTATTTAGATCTGACTTTATTTGTGTGAAAAGCGTTTTGTAATTGTGTTTATATAGTTCTTGGATTTGTCTTGGCAGACAGACTCCCAAATATTTTATATTGTCTATAGTGACTTTAAATGGAATTTCTCTATCTCTTGCTGCTGGGCTTTGTTAGTAACATATAGAAATGATAATGATTTATGTGGGTTTATTTTATATCCTACAACTTTGCTAAAGCTATTAATTATTTCAAGTAGTTTTTTAGTTGATTCTCTAGGATTCTCTAAGTATACCATCATATCACATGCAGAGAGTGATGGCTTTATTTCTTCATTGCCTATTCAAATTGCTTCAATTTATTTTTCTTCTCATTGCTGAATCTAACATTTCTAGTACAATATTGAATAACAGTGGTGATAATATACATTCTTGTTTCACTTATGATCTTATTGGAAATGCTTCTACCTTATCCCTATTACTTATAATGCTTGCTGTTGGTTTTAGGTAGATGCTACTTATTATTTTAAGGAAAACTCCATTTATTCCTATACTCTCTAGTGTTTTTAATAGAAATGGATGCTGTATTTTGTCAAAAGCTTTTTCTGGATCTATTGAGATAATGTTATGATTTATGTTAATTTTGTTATTGATGTGGTCAATTATGTTGATAGTTTTCCTAATATTGAACCAGCCCTGCATTCCTGGTATAAATCTCATCTGGTCATAGTGTATTATCCTTGTGATAAGTTGCTATAATCTCTTTGCTAATATTTTATTTAAAAAATTTTGCATCAATATTCATTAGGGAAATTGGTTTATAGTTTTCTTTTTCTGTTTTGGTAGGACTCCTTCTTCACCTAGTTTCCTAAATAGTTATATAATATTGGAATTAATTGTTCTTTAAATGTTTGGTGGAATTCACTTGTATATCCATCTGGCCCTGGAGATTTTTTTCTTAGGGAGTTCATTGATGGCTTGCTCAATTTCTTTTTTCTGAAATGGGGTTATTTAAGTATTTTATTTCCTCTTCTGTTAATCTGGGCAATTTATATTTTTGTAAATATTTATCCATTTCACTTAGATTGTCAGATATATTGGCATACAGTTGGGCAAAATAGCTCCTAATTATTGTTTTAATTTCTCCTCATTGGTGGTGAATTCACCTTTTTCATT